CCCCCGCCCCCCGGGCAGCCATGGCCACTGCTGCTGCTTCCACCAGGCCGGAGGTGGCCCCCACACTGGCCCGGCCTCCGGGGATCAACAGCAGGCCCTCCCCCTCTGCGTCCTCGGACAGGCTGTAGCAGGCCTTCACTACACCCTGCGGTGGGGCTACCGTGCTGGGAGGCACACTGCTCTGGGCCAGCTCCCCAAGGTGGCCGCCCACGGAGGCTCCGATACCCAGACCCCCTCCCAGGCCTCCAGGGGGTTTGAGCCGGTGTGCCACCTCCAGGGCTGACTCCACCTTGACGATGCAGATGTCAGACACGTCCTCGTCCTCATCCTCCTCCTCCTCCTCGGCCTTCAGCTCCAGGTCCTCATCCAGCGGGAACTCCAGCTTCACGGGCCGCAGGAGCGGAGGGGGTAGAGGAGGTGGGGGTGGGGGCTTGGGGGCTGGCTTTGGGGTCCTGGCTGGAGGGAGGAGGGACTTGGTGGCGCTGACACTGCTCATGAGGCTAGCCTCGCTGATCCCGTCCTCTTTGAGGCCTATTTTGGGCTCAATGAACTGGCTGAGGGCGTTCCGGCATTTCTCCACCACGTGCTCCATCTGCAGGTAGGAGGCGGCCGTCAGGTAGTTAACGATGTCCCTGACAGCGAATTCCAGGGCGCCCGTGTAGCAGGAGAGGAGCAGGTCGGCCACAATGCGAGCACTGTGCATCAGAGAGACCTGCAGCTCAGAGCTGGGATTCAGCAGGAACTGGTCCCTCAGGAAAGGCGAGCAGGCGGCCAGGATGACCTTGTGGCCACGGAACTTAAGGCTGTCGGCCACAATAGTCACGTCGCAGAACCGCTCCTCTGCGCGGAGCTGGTTCATGTTCCGCAGCGTAGCGGCCTCGTGGCCGGGCAGCTGGAAGCGCAGGACTTCCACCCCAGAGGCCATTGTGGCGGGGGTGGGCAACCCTGGTTAGGAAGGAAATCGGTTACAGACAAAGATCTTTGGCTCTCCGAAGCCAAGGCTCCAGTCCCCTCGCCCCCATTCTTGCCCGGCCACCCAGCATCCGATCTCCCAGTCTTCAGGCCTCTTCCTCAGTTTCCCCAACCCCTGGGAGGTGCTGTCCCTCTGAGAGGAGGGAGGCGTGGTTCCCGGGGGCGGGGCAGCGGCGTCCACACCCCCCAGTCCGGCAGCCCGCGAGGATGGGGCGAGCCCGCGCGCCCACAGAGGAGGACGGAGAAAGGGAGGACAGAGGCCTGGGACTCTGGACTCGGGGTGGCCCCGGCTGCACTCTTCTCAACCCGCCCCCTTTACCCGCTGCCTCATTCCTCCGCCCCCCCTTACACGTTTGCACGCGCCTTTCACGTCCTCCCCCCGCCGCCTGCACGCATCGTGCACGCCCTCCCCACGTTCAGAGCTCCGTGGCACGCCCCCCCAGCCCCACGACCCTGAGTGCACGCGCCTCTCACCTGGCCCGGTTCCGCGCGCTGTTTTTTTTCCAAACTAAGCTGCAATCTCTGCACCTTCATCTCCCACACTTAAGAGCATCTTTAAGGTCGGTCCCTTTCTCTTCCTTGCACTCCTATTACTCAGACTTTCTCACCTATCCAAGTCCCTGTGAAGAAGCCCCTGTTTCTGCCAATTGGGTTTGTTTATTATGTCCTCCAGGAGACTAGAGCATTCTCCTTACATCTCAATTTTTTTTTTTAAGATGACCGGTAAGGGGATCTCAACCCTTGGCTTGGTGTTGTCAGCACCATGCTCAGCTAGTGAGCGAACCGGCCATCCGTATATAGGATCCGAACCCGTGGCCTTGGTGTTATCAGCACCGCACTCTCCCAAGTGAGCCACAGGCCGGCCCTACATCTCAATTTTGATGAAGGTGCTTGTCATATATTGTGTTCAATATCTGAGATTGTAAACTTCTTGATAGCAGGAGTTATGTGGTGGGTTATGTTTTGCAAATAAAAGTCATGCAATAAATGACTGACTGTTGATGTCATTTTACTTTGTCTCAGCCAGTATCCACCCATGAAAAGTTTGTTTCTGACTTAAGCTGAACACCCAAACTCAAGGGATGCTGTTTGGTGAGAGGGTAAGGGCAGTGTTTAGGTGGTGCCTTGACTCTTTACCTATCCCTTTAAAATTCTCTGACTTTTATGCCCCCACCCAGTTCTCTCTATTCTAAAATGCCCCCTTTGTAGAAATCTTTTGTAGTCAGGCCATGTAGATTCAAAGAAGAACATAGGCTTTTGTGTTAGACATACCTAGGCTCAAAGCTGTATTTCTCTGTGTACTAAATGAGGGCCCTTGGGCAAATTACTTAACTCTCTGAATCACAGTTTCTTTGAATTGAAGGCCCTGATTCTTCATAGGGCTAATGTAAGGTATAAGTGAGCCTGACATACAGTAGCTTGGAATCAAAGGTAGCTCTTTTTTCCTTTGCCTCATTGAGAGACTATGACATTTTCTAAAGAAACTTTACTAAATATTGTTTTCTTATTTAATCTCTTTTTCTCCTCATTGCCAAACTTCTCAAAAGAATAGTTCATATTCCATGAAGAATAGAAATACAAAAACTGTCGGGCCGGCCCGTGGCTCACTCGGGAGAGTGTGGTGCTGATAACACCAAGGCCACGGGTTTGGATCCCGTATAGGGATGGCCGGTTCGCTCACTTGGGAGAGCGTGGTGCTGACACCCCCAAGTCAAGGGTTAAGATCCCCTTACCGGTCATCTTTGTAAAAAAAAAAAAAAAAAGGAAATACAAAAACTGTCGGGCCGGCCCGTGGCTCACTCGGGAGAGTGTGGTGCTGATAACACCAAGGCCACGGGTTTGGATCCCGTATAGGGATGGCCGGTTCGCTCACTTGGGAGAGCGTGGTGCTGACACCCCCAAGTCAAGGGTTAAGATCCCCTTACCGGTCATCTTTGTAAAAAAAAAAAAAAAAAGGAAATACAAAAACTGTCGGGCCGGCCCGTGGCTCACTCGGGAGAGTGTGGTGCTGATAACACCAAGGCCACGGGTTTGGATCCCGTATAGGGATGGCCGGTTCGCTCACTTGGGAGAGCGTGGTGCTGACACCCCCAAGTCAAGGGTTAAGATCCCCTTACCGGTCATCTTTGTAAAAAAAAAAAAAAAAAGGAAATACAAAAACTGTCGGGCCGGCCCGTGGCTCACTCGGGAGAGTGTGGTGCTGATAACACCAAGGCCACGGGTTTGGATCCCGTATAGGGATGGCCGGTTCGCTCACTTGGGAGAGCGTGGTGCTGACACCCCCAAGTCAAGGGTTAAGATCCCCTTACCGGTCATCTTTGTAAAAAAAAAAAAAAAAAAAAAAGGAAATACAAAAACTGTCAAATTGAAGCTCAGAGTTTGGGGCTGGCTGGTTAGCTCAGTTGGTTAGAGCACAGCCTTATAACCTGAGGGTCATAGGTTCAGATCTCCATACTGGCCAGCCACACACAGAAAAAAGGATAAATTAGAGTTTATAAAGTTTTGTATCCCATCCTCTTCTTGCTGCTTTTCCTTTCCAGGCATGTGGATGGGACAGGGGGCCTAATCTCAGCCTATAGCTTAAGATGGGTGGTCCTTGGTGGCAGGTGGAGTTGAGAGCCATGAGTCCTTCAAGTGCCCAGCCCCACCCAGTTATAGCTGTACATGGAAACTAGCACAAGCATACAAGCTGTCTTTTCCTGTATAGTCTTGTGAGGAGATACCCCATCTAGGGGATCTAGAACCATCTAGATCATTGTCTCTTGTTCCCCAACTTCTGCCAGTGAAGACAAGAGGTCCTCCCATTCTTAGGTTGCAGTACCGAGCGACTTGGCTTAGTGTCAAGAATAGCTACACTGAGGATTTTTAGAAGGCTTTAGAAATAAAATCTGACTATGGATGCAAAGAACAACTAGGAGACAGAAGGTCTGGGTTCTAGTCCAAGTTTGAAGTCATCAAGGCCCCAGAGGTTTCAGTGATCTCTTCAGTAAGAAGGAGGAATTGCTCTCTGAAGTCTTTTCCAGCCCTATGAGTCCATAATAGCTTACTGCGAAAAGGAGTGCGCGAATGGTTGCCTGCGTGTCTGTGAGTAGTGGTCAAGGGCCATCTAGCTCATGGCTTCAAACACCACTCTTGGCTACCAAGGGAGGCAAGTAGTGACTTTGTTAATCCAAAACAGTAGGAAAGGCGGGCCATTTCTCTGAGGCATTTTAGGCTGTGGGTTTACTTTTACAACGGTGCTTAGCACAGACTGGAATAACTGTACTCCTTGAACTCCAATAGGAAAGGTGGAGAGAAGTCAGCCTGGACTTTTAAATCTATAGGCTGATAAAACTGTCTTGTTTTACAACAGACCTCTGATGTCTCCCTTTATCTCTTTTGACTTGGCTCTGCCCTCAGCGCAGGAACCCTGGTGAAAATTGCAGGCAGTTCTGGTGACGTTGGCAGGGGCTCACCGCTTGAGAAAAGAAACCACATGAAGACAAAGGGCCTAGACCACTCCCATCCATTTGCCAAATAACCTTTCCTGAGCTCCCATCCATGTCCTGCAACATACCCCATCCCCTGATCTTTCCTCGCTGCTGGCTCTCCTGCTTCCTCAGAACTCATTCTCCCCAGCCTCAGCCTCCTGACAAACTCTTCCCTCCTGCTCCAACATTAGAGGGAACTTAGCTCTCCCTGCAGCCCAACCCCTTCCCCCTCCTCCACATCCTCCACACACACACACACACACACACACACACACACACACACACACACACACACACACACACACGCCTCCCTGGCCCTGCCAGATCTGGGGAAATGGTGGGATCCCCCTAGCACCTTGTCGGTTGCAGACAGAATAGGACTCTTCCACCAAACACCCTCTTGGCTGAGCTTCCCCGAGTCTGCTCTGCTAGGCTGGCCTCTCCTTGTTGCGTGGGCAACGGACTTCCAGGCCTGTGGGGCCTGGCTCAGGTCTTCCTCCCCAGGCCTGCCTGTGTCCCTGCAAATGACTTCATCCTCCACACCCCAAGTAAAGAAAAATATTTGTTCAGTTTATTTTTATTTTTTCATAGAATCATAGGATCAATCTCTCTCTCCTTTTTTTTTTTTTTTTGTGGCTGGCTGGTACGGGGTCCCTGGTTTCTTCAAAGCTTCTTGACCTCCGTCCAACAACTTTTATCGTGACTCCTCTTCAGCCACTTTCTTCCCAGGGTCACACTCTGGTTATTATTAGCACCTGGAACTTCATCCACAGAGTAGCCCAGGGATTGCTCCCTCCCAGAGGCAGCAAATACACCTGCTCCACCCTCCGCCCCCCCAGAGGGACCTCTGGCTCTGTCTTCCCTTCTCTGTCAGGTCCTCCCATGCCTCCTTGCCTGTCCAGCCAAGATGCCACTCATGACGCATCACTCAGCTGCTCTCTGCCAGCTCCCTTCAGTTGGGTCCTCAGTGCTGCTTTATGAGTGAGATGAGCCCTTCTCCCCACCACAGCTCTTTTCCAACCTTGTCCACTCTTCGGTCCCCTTCGCCACTCCCAATCCCTCTCTCTCCCTCACTGAGGCTTGAGTGCCCCCCTTTGCACCCCCAAACACCTCTTTTTTACTCATCTTTATTTCCCTTTCCTTAGTTTCAGAGCCTGTTGAAAGCCAATCCTTCCTCCTACATCCCACTCCTAAACTTGCTCCGTTTTTTGCCCTCTTGGGCTTTACAGTATCCCGTGTTCTGACCTAAAGTCGATAAACGCAGACAGGTTTTTGCTTTAAAAAAAAAAAAAAGAAAGAAAGAAAACAAAACCCTTCCTTGACCTTGGTCCCTCTCCAGCTGTAGACACGCCTTACCTCCCGCTTCCTTCCCAGCTCGGTCAGCATCACCCTCTTCACATTCATCCTCTTCCCTAAAAATAGTTATTGTGAACATATTACACACATAGAAGAATGCATAAAATGAGCATGTATAGGTAAAGAC